CGGAACCGATGCTCATATGTTGTATAGGACCTTATCTGATCGCCGCGGTCCACGTGATTCATCTCAACGTTATAGTGAGCGGCAACAGAAGGAATAGGGACCTTTTTGAAGGTATCACCATTGAAGACCTGCTGCAGGCGTTGTGCCTCTGCCTTTGTGCCTCTTTTGGCGGGCAACTTCCTCTCTGTGAGTGTGCGGTCAAGAGGGGTTGCGCTGTGCGTTGTTGAAAGGAAGAGTACTACAGAGCTATCTTTCCAAGCGATTTGAAGGACCTAGAGGGAACAGAAAGAGACAAATTAGTAAGGGGAATATAGGTAAAGTTGTCTATACCTTTTTATCCTTCGTCGGGACTAAATACACCTCATTATACGCCAAAGGCGTGCCGTCAGGAAGCTTCCCGGTCTCTTTTATATGCTTCAACTCGGTGGTGATGCCGCAATTAGGGCGTGCCGTGCCTGTAGCCCCGTATCCAAGCTGCCGAAGAAGGCGGAAGAGCTGCGGCGACGAGAAGAGGTTATCTGTAAAGACGTGATATGTCTGTGGCAGCAGCCTTTTCAGTAGGTGAACCACGACGCTCTGTGTATTACTGAGAGGGATCTCGGTCAGCAGCTTTCCCTTCTTGCCGCGCTGTTGTGGTGTAGGTAGCTCGACTGTTACAGCCTTATATGGTGATGCCTTCACATGCCAAAGCCACTGCAGAAAGTAGCCCTGTTGCGCAATAACCCAGACTTTGAACCCTACCGGCGTAGGCTTTCCCTTGACAAGTGTTGTCTCTTTTGATCTGCCTGTAAACGGGATCATACACTCATCTACAGTCAGATTAGTCCCTGGAAGATAGAGCTCGATAGACACCCTTTGTATGTGATTAGACCACTCTTCAGCTGCTTGGAAGGTCTTTGGAAGATCGCTCTCATCGCTCACATCAAGCTTGGTGTAGTCATAAGTGCGGATATACCTCGTGATCAGCTGAAACCGGCGTAAGGGCATGAACTTGATGATTGAGTGAAGAGGGCGCTGTTCTCCTAGCCTAGGTGCCTTCCAATGGGCCTTTAACGAATTTTCGGTATGAATTCCTAGGTAAATAAGGACCCCAAGCCATACATAAGCCGTTGCAGTAGAGAAGCCTTCCCAATCAAGGATGCGAGACCGTTCGGAAAGGGGGGTATTCCAGTTGTCAATAACGGAATTTTGGATCAAGTAAGCGACCCAGCTGTCGGTGTATATTATCCATGACTGTATGAGGGATTCAGGTATAAAAAGCTGGAACAATTCAAGTGGTTCCTTGGGCAGAGGGTTGATGTGAAAATCATGATATTCTACGTTGAAAGGTTGAAAATCATCACCGCGGCCTTCTTCGGGCGGAAAAATAGGCACGCCGGTGGGATCATTAGCTGCCCTTGAAGGCGGGGGGCTAAAGCTGTGATCATCTATGTAATCTTGTATCTTTAAAGAGCTCATCGTTTCAATTGAGACTTATTAAGGTTAATTAGTATGAGGATTTTAATGATTTTGGTGGTGTTGAATAAAGAAGCTGTCTGACGGGAACTTTACGTACCCCGCAGGTACCTGCGAAAGTAGTCAGAAAAGCGGGGAAAGTGACCTCGTGGATGCCTTCTGCCACCCAAAGAGATAGCGATTCCATTTCACCCAAACGGAATTGGGGTACCCCAAACTTTTTGTTAGTAAAATGCAATTTGACCAGATGCATCAATTCATTAGACCGAGGACATGTAATAGTAGTATTAGTACTAGAAAAGCCAAATTGCAGCATTGCGACCGGTTTGAAGTTCAATTCCATTGATCGATTGAAGTTGAGAAAGACCAGGGTTAAGCGGGGCGAAGCATACCCGCACGGGTACCCGTGCAAATAAGGGATCCTTATGTTAGCAACCTAGATTGATCAAAAATGCCTCATATGAGCCAATTGACCGCCTAGGACCTTATTTATCATCTATCCTAGGTCCAGTGCCCTTGATTGACCCAATTGACGCTTAATTGAAGCTCCACTTGCCCTATTAGCGATGGATCGAACCCTTGAAGTCTTCCCTGACGATGCCCTTCCTCCTGAAGCTATATTCAGCTCACGAAGTGAGTTAGTTACGTCAATCAACGATTGGGCAAGCGATCGAGGCTATGCCTTCGTTGCAAGGAGATCTTCAAAGGCAAAGACTCTCAGTCAAGCTCTCACAGTTACTTACATATGTGATCCTGGAGGCGCGCCTAGGTCTGATCAGTCAAGCAAGAAGAAGACTTCATCACGCCGCACAGACTGCCTCTTCTCAATCAATGCAATAGAGAGTAATTGCAAGACTCAATGGGCAGTAAAGCATCGCAATAATCCTCGTTATCATACACATAACCACGAGCCGAGCTTTGGGCCAAGGGCACATCCAGTACTTCGTCGAATTACACATGAAGGAGAGCAGACTATTAGGTTCCTCTCAGAAGCTGGCGTGAAGCCAAAAGAGATACGAACCTTCTTGAGGCTCTCAGATAGCTTCAAACTCGCTACACAGCAGGATATCTATAATGCTGTTGCAAGAAGTAAACGAGCTCTTGCCAAGGGCCAAAGCATAATACATGCTCTTGCAGATGAGCTTGTAGACCAGGGCTTTAGAAGTAATTTCTGCCTCGATCAAGAGAACAGGTTCACAGCAGTATTCTTTACTAATCAGGCCTCCCTTACATACACCAAATCCTATCCTGAAGTCATGATACTTGACTGTACATACACAACCAACAAGTACAAGATGCCTCTTCTTGATATCATTGGTATTGATGCTTGCGGGAAGAGCTTCTGTATTGCATTTGCCTTTATGAGTGGCGAAGAAGAAGCAGACTATATCTGGGTTCTCTCTCGCCTCCGGCAGGTATATGAAGCACAAGGAATAGCTCTTCCTTCTGTAATACTTACAGATCGATGTCTTGCTTGTATGAATGCAATTGCAGATATAGCTGCCTTCCCCGAGCCAACACATCTACTCTGCATCTTTCATATCAACCAAGCCGTCTTAACCTATTGTCAACCCCGGTTTACAAAAGGCTCAGATGATCCTCAAGGGTACAGCAAATGGCTAGAGTTCCAGAAGAGCTTTAATCACGTTATAGCCTCGGAGACTCAGGGTGTTTATAATGAACGGCTTGCGAAGTTTAAGGACACTTATACCCCAAGCCATCCTGATGAAGTGGGTTATATCATGACAACTTGGCTGAACCCCTACAAAGAGAAATTCGTCAAGGCTTGGGTAAGGAATACCCTTCACTTTGGTCAGACAACTACATCACCTGCAGAAAGCATACACAATCTTCTCAAGAGACACTTGAATAATAACCAGGCCGATCTCTTCGAGTGTTGGAGGCATATCAAGCGAGCTGTAGATAATCAACTGGAGAGCCTTCATGATAGCCTTGCATACGACAACATCAATGAGCCTACTATTCAAAGTATCCGATTGTCGCGGCCGTTATTTGGTACCGTTACTGGTTGGGTCTCTCATGAGGCCTTACTTAAGGTTGAGAAGCAAGCTGAACGCCTGAAAAGCAGTATACCTATATGTACAGGAACCTTCACTAGATCCTTCGGGTTACCATGTGCTCATACCCTTGAGCCTCTGCTGAGGAATGGTCTTCATCTCCAACTATCTCACTTCCACTCTCATTGGCATTTACAAAGACCGGGAGCTCCTCTTCTTCTTATTGAGCCTCGGAGGGTATTTGATCGCCTTGCTGATCGATCAGTACTGCCACCGACGAGTACACAGCGAGAGCCTTGTGCATTTGAAGAGGTTCAAAAGGCTTCGCAGCCAAGGGCACAACCACAATGCTCTGCATGCCAAGAGACCGGTCATCGAAGGAACTCAAAGAAATGCCCTCTCCGTTACAATGACGTATTGCCTGCTCTATCTCAAGCCTCCCCAGTAACGCAACCGGTAGTTGAGCCTCATATAGATCCTAAATTGCAGTCAGATATAGCCCAACCTACTATTATTACAGTAACCGAGACAGAAACACACACAACAACACGCACAATGACTATTACTTCTACACCGATAACAACGCCCTCTCCAGGTGCCTCTCCTCAAAGTGCCCGTCAAACTACAAGCATTACAGTAGCTATGCCCGAGGCATATGATAGTGCTCCTGCTATCTACAGACGATATATATCAGACCGCGAGAGATGGTATCAACAGCAGCCTCAACGCCGCAGGACTGATAAGCTGTACCGGAAGGCAATGAAGCTTCGTTTGAAGTACCCGAAGTCTAATCATCAATGGGCCCGTACCCTAGGTCAAATGGGGGATTATGTGAAAGCTGCTAATGGTAGGAAGCTAAGGGACTGGACTGAAGAGGAAATAAATGCATATATTGACTTTCAGAATAAGGAAGACGAGCGGGTATATTATGCAGTGGCTCAAAGGGCTCAGTATACTGGTCGAAGAGGCATTGAAGATAGTATGCGTGCAGCAGAGGAAGATGGTCGGATACAGCAGGCATATTATGATAATCAGATGGCCACCAACTAAATTTATTTCAGTGCAGTTAATAGTAAAGTTATATATATCATTCAAAAGAGAAAGAATACTGTATCTTCGAGTAGCACAATTGAAGTTATATTGATTCACTTTCCTTGCTTTTTTATTGAGTCATAGGGTAGTACTCAATTGAGGCTGTAACTACTAATTAGAGCTATAAACAAACACCACTACATGTGTATTATAAAGGCACCCTTTTATCCTTAGATGTAATAGTTAGTTACAACAGTAAAAGCAGTGATAAATAGTTATATTGACAGTAAATCAGTATATTAGATCTTATCTGAAAGTACTAGATAACTCCCCTTATAGTAGTGATTAATATCTTGTAGCTTGCTATGATGCTAGAGCTTCTGATAGAAGATCTGAATCACCTTATGCTTTTGAGTATATAAATAAAGCCTTTCTCTTGTAGTAATAGACTTCTTCTACCATAATATCTACATTTCTTAGTTAACTGATATCACTATGTCTTTCCCCAACGGTCAGGGACTTCCAGTCCAAGTCTATGAAGATAACACTTGCACTTCTGCTGGGGGCAACCCAGCTAATAACAACAACCGCTTTATCCTTCAACCTGTACAGCCTAACAACATGCCCGGTAATAATAGTGCCCTTCTCGTGAGAGAGGCTGCTGGCTTTACCAACCCTCTTCCGCAGGCTATACTCACGGGGCAAGAAAACATCAATACCATTCAGCCTGCTCCCGCGCTCTTTGATCACAATGCGTGGTTGGCTCAAAACACTACGCCGGGTGCTCCAACAACTGTTGCTGGTCTCACTCCTTAGCAGCTTCAAGCTGCTCAGAATATGACCTATGTTTCTATCGGACCGCCAGTCCATACGGTCACAACTCCTCGCGGCTATCAAGTCGAAGGTATCTGGCACATGGGGCACCTTTAACAGTCTATTCAAGCTCGCCAATAACGTTCTGCCCCTGATGTGAACCCTTTCTGGACTCCCAATATCCTTCAGCAGCAAGACGCAGCTATCAGAGCAGGCAATGGGGTCCCAGGAACGACTTGGCCAACGCCTGCAGTTGGTATGACTATGCATATACCAACTATTTACACTGCAGCACAGCACGGGATGCATATTACAGATGTGAATAGAAGGGCCAAGTTGAGTGGATGTGGATAGGGAGACAGTAAGGGAGTAGTAGATTGGTGTTTCTAGCTAAACTGGGGCTTTAATAAACACTATAATAGCTTCTCTATTGCTATAACTACTGTGAAATACATATAATTGTTGTAAATATAAGTGTAAGGCTCCTTTGTGATGCTAACATAAGGATCCCTTATTTGCACGGGTATCCGTGCGGGTATGCTTTGCCTTAGACAACCTTCCTTTGTCATCACACTTTCTTGGCATACAAGTGTTAAGAAAGTGGCCCTGTCTACACCTAAATCCTTAACAAGTGCACAACAAACGACTCAACCTGCGCTTTGCGCAGTCGCAAGCCGCGGCGATGGCCTCGTTTTCGACGAGCCCGCCCCCTGCCCCAGACCCCTTCGATTTAGGGATCCACACTCCCGCTAATCTGAATCGAGGAGCCCGTGCAGCTCTCTTGCAGAATAGCCCTGCGACCGTGAATGGCACCATTGGTGTTTTACCCGTTCCCAGGCAGATGGCCCAGACTCCATCCTCACCACTTATCGCCGCCACCGCTGTTGCAGCTACGGAAGAAGCTGCGCGTGCCAACTCACCATCGATCTCTGAACAACAACCAATCTCTATTATCGAGTCGGCCAATGATCTCGCGCGAGAACACGCGGAAGAGTACAACGCCAAGCTGATGGTCTTTCAAACCTTCTGCGCCAAGTTTGAAGAAGCGGCTCAGCAATTCGCTACCGGACCGCAACGCCGTTTCGCTAGACAACTTGCTGACAGCTTCCCCGGCATCTGGAAACGAGAGCTCTCCGGCTCCGGACCTACGACCCCCAAGCCCAGCTACAGCAGCGTCGCCGCTATCTCGCTTCCCGCTGCCCACGTTCGCCCAGCCCACCGCCACCATCAGCAACACCATCAGCAACAACAGCAGCACCGACAATCCGACCCACCTCATCGCCAAGGGCAACAGCCGACCATCGCCCCACTCCGACAAGATCTCCGTGTCTTCATCCGTCTAGATGCCGGAGCCCCGGCTAGGGCCCACAGTGGCTATGCCATCCGGACCTTAATCCGGGAGAAACTCGGCGCCGTCTCGGACAAGATCCGACAGGTGTTCCAGGTCCGGTCTGGATGGGCCGTCTTGGCTGCCGACTCGGCAACACGCGACTTTCTTGTAGAAAAGCAGGCTGAATGGGCCGCTGAACTGAAACCTATAGCAGTAGAAACGAACAAAGAATGGTTCACCTATGTGGTCTCAGACTTTCCCCAAAGACTGACCGACTTTCACGGTAATGAGGTGGATAGTGACAGCATCGTCAGCGACGAGATAGAAATGCAGACGGGGCTCAAGCCTGTTGACATACGCCCGGCGCGACAATTCTCGGACAACCCTTTGACCAAGGCCCTACTTGTGTCCTTTCTGAAGCCCACAAAGAGATTTTGGTCGCTGTTTGGCAGCAGCACGGCCAGACTTGTCGACAAAACTGACCGGCTAAGACAGTGTGAGACGTGCTGGGGCTTTCACTTTGACCGCAACTGTCATAGACGGCCAGTCTGCCAACGCTGCGGCAAGATCGGCCACTCTACTGATGACTGCGCTGCGCCAGAACAGTGCATTAACTGCTTGGGCCCTCACCAGGCTAACTTTAAAAGGTGCCCAGCTCGACCGAAGAAAGTGCGCGGCGTGCTGCGCCGACTTACCAAAGAGCAGCGAGGACATGTCCGGACCGTAGGCGCGGAGGCATACCGACAACGACAGCGAGAAGCACAACCGGAATTGCACCAAGAAGCCCATAACAGCACGTATGAACGACAAGGCGAGGATGCCGCATCACAAGAGCAGCCGAGCGTTCGTGCCCCAAGCCCAGCTATATCAGGAGCACCATCGTGCATCATGGTGGCCACAACGCCCCAGGTCGGTTACGAAGCAGAGGAGGAGCCTGAGCATCCCAGGCCGGGCTCACCGCGAAAGCGCCGAATAGTTCTCATCACTCGTCCTCATGACTAGGAATAGACACTCGCAGACACGAAGGAACGACAAGAAGCCGCTCAGGATCTTTCAGGCCAACGTCGGCAAGATCCCCCCGGCCCACGACTGCGCCCTGGCGCTGGCCGACTCGGAACGATATGACATTGTACTCCTGCAGGAGCCGTGGACGACTCATACAGAGACCCGCTTTCTGACCAAAACTCACCCGGCATACGACACATTCACGCCAGTCGACATGTGGAACAGCAACGACACTCGGCCTAGAGTGATGACATATGTCAGGCGAGACCCAAGATTTCTCGCCGACCAGATCCGGCCCTTTCATACTCGCGACATTCTCTGGCTCACGATCAACGGCATGACGGTAGTCAACTTCTATCGCCAGAACGACGAGAGGGATGCCCTAAACACGCTGCTTCGCTGGCCTGTTCCGGAACGCTGCCTCGTTGCTGGCGATTTCAATGCCAGGCATCGTAGTTGGCAGACGGGCCAAGCGACGAACCGCGGCCATGAGGTAGCAGGATGGGCGTCAGAGAATGACCTCAACCTTCTCAACACTCTAGATATCCCGACAAATCCACACGGCAACACGATTGACCTGGCCTTCACCAATATGCCACTGGCCGAAGCTACCGTCGAGGACCATCTCGCCACTAGCTCCGACCACTTCACGCTCAGCTTGACCTTCCTTGACATCAGATCGACTCCGGTACAACCGGCCAAGATCCGAGTTAAGACGGAAGACGAGCTTAAACGATTCGTCGAGATTGTAGACCTGGGAGCCACGGAAATCCCCCTCACAGATTCGACCCCTGCGGAGCTGGACGAACTCGCGTCTTCACTTGTAAGTCTACTAACATCAGCAGCGAAAGCAGCTGGCCGGCCCTCGCGGAAAGGCGGACGTCCAGCCCCCTGGTGGACGGAGGAGTGCGCCTGCGCTGCGGCTGCTTTCCGGGCCATCAGAAGAAGCTACCCTTGCGGCTTCAACCAGGACGTTCAGATCGCCAAAAGAGACTTTCATCGTGTGGTCCGTCGGGCTAAGAGGCAGTATTGGCGGAACCTCATCGACAACTTCTCCAGCAGTAGCGCTGTTTTCAAAGCTGTCCGATGGTTGAAATCCCCTGGAGCCTTTCAGCCCCCGCCCTTGCAGGTTGACAACGTCGTGTACGAAACCCAGATGGACAAAGCCAACGCACTCCGACAGGCTACGCTGGAACGAAGAACTGCGGAGGACGACATCATAAACGCTTGGACACCAGTATCTCCTTCTAGGTTGATTCCTTTCTCAGCCGGGGTCTCGCTAGATGAAGCGCAGTGTGCGACCATCCAGACAGGCAATACATCGCCAGGGTCAGACAACATCACCGTCAATCTTCTCCAAGCCGTATGGCACATCATCGGGACACATGTCCGCCGCTTGTTCGAAGGATGCCTTTCCGCAGGCCATCATCCGAAACCATTCAAGGAGGCGGAGGTGGTCATGATCGCGAAACCGGGGCGAAGAGACCTCACTGAGCCACGGGCCTGGCGGCCTATCTCACTGCTCTCCTGCCTTGGCAAGGGATTAGAGCGACTGATTGCACGCCGTCTAGCCTGGGCAGTCGTCCACTACAGCGTCCTTCATCCACAACAAGCTGGGGCGCTTCCCAAGAGGTCTGCGACAGACCTGGTGACCGCCCTGATCCATGATATCGAAGAAGCGTTTGCACGCAAGAAGGTGGCGACTCTAGTCACGATGGATGTCCAAGGTGCTTTCGACACCGTCATGCGCAACAGGCTCGTCCTGCGCCTTCGTGAGCAAGGCTGGCCTGACTATTTGGCTCGTTGGGCCGGCTCCTTCATGAGCGGCCGGTCTGCGCGTGTCAGGTACCAGGATACCGTCACGCCCTCTTCTCCCCTCCAGTGCGGGCTCCTTCAGGGATCGCCGGTATCGCCGATACTCTTCCTACTCTATACTGAGCCAATCTATCGACTAGGCAATCCCTGGGGTCGCTTCGGCTATGCAGATGACACTGCCATCCTGTCTATAGGCGACACAGTAGATGAGACTACCGCCATGGCATCCAGCTCCATCGCAGAGATGGTGCGTTGGGGCGCGGCAAACGGCGTCTCCTTCGACCCAAAGAAGACCGAAGTGATGCACTTCTCCCGCAGTAAGCTCAGGACCGCGCCGGCAGTACGTCACGGCGATGTCGAGAAACACCCCGAGCTAGCTCTGCGCTGGCTTGGCATTTGGCTCGACAGCAGACTATCATTCCGCGTTCACGTCGAGAAGTGGGCGGCGAAGGCAAAGGCCGTCGCCTACCACTTGCGAGGACTCACCAACACAATACATGGCCCTCTTCCGAGTGCCGTGCGAGGTGCCGTCAGAGCTTGTGTTGAGCCGGTGCTACTCCACGGATCTGAAGCCTGGTACCCGGGCACCAACAGGCCGCGGTGGAGCCAGCCCAACAAAGACACACCGTCTAGTAACTAGCATCTCATACAGAGAATGAACAAGGCCTTGAATCAATCCATGAGAGCTATAGTGCCCGTCTGGAAAACGACACCCATCACCATCTTGCACAGAGAAAGTGGGATACCACCAGTCGATCAACTGCTCGAAGCCAGACGACTCAGGTTCTCCGCATGACTCAAATCACTCGACGACACCCATCTTCTTGTGAGAAGAGCGGCGCCACCGCGCCAG